TCATTAAACCCGATCCCGATGCTAACATTAATAACAACGCCGACACCAGTGACGACAATCAAAGTCCCGTTGAAGATACTGCTTATAACCGCAATAAAGAATCTCCTAACATCAACGACGATGATGTCAGCAATCGATACAATATTTTTGGTAGATTACCGTTTTACGATTCTAGTTTTTTAGAAAAATTTCATCAAAACTCTAAACAACTTGCTGAGCACTTTAGCCGAATTAATAGAACAATGCTGTTTGATCCATTTGCTGCTTATTTCAATGCAGAAAACAGAAATGCGCTGGCAAAATTATCTGAAATGTTTGCTGGAAAAATTAAAGATGCTAACAGCCTAAGTAAGCCCTACACTGAAAAACTATTGGACAATCCACAAGTGAAAGATCGAAATAATTTTTTTCCTTTTACGTCCTATTCTCGAGACACTAATTCTGCAGAAATAACAAATTTAAACATGTCTACAGGTTTAAAACAATCAAACAGTGTAGATCCGGATATGATACCAATTAAATACGAAGGTAACTTTGATGGCCAAAACTGTGTGCGAAAATTAGAATCACTCGTTGCTTCGATGAGCAAACGATCGAAAATAAACAGCACTGCCCGTTCGAACGACACGATAAGATTAGTAACATCTTCAGCGTCGTCATCGTCGGCAACCGCAACAGGAAAGGATCAAATGCACGCCTACAATAGTAGCAACAGCAGTGTTAGTAGTTACCTCCAAAATCAAAACAAATCTCACAGATATTTGTATCCCTACTCTGTGGATGCTCTAACGACGACAAATCATTCAATCGACGCGCCTTTAGACCTATCTGTGAAAAAAAATAGGAATGAAGATTCGTCGAGCAGCATTGCATCTTTAGAGTATTTATCTTCATCCGCTAAGAGCAACAACATTCTTGCAAGTAGTTATTCGTCTTACAGAACGCCTTCCTTGTATCTTTCTGAATCAGTGGCAGGTGGCGGATCATCTTTGGCTAGTTTAGAGAAAAAGTTTGGTGAAAATTCAAAAATATTAGATTGGGTCGGCTCAACACAGCGGCCGACAAACACTTTGTTGAGCACGTTTGCTGAAACGAACATTGATAAAACGACAACAACTAATACATCTACAGCTTATTCCAGTTTGTGTGGCATGATGCTGAATGACTTTGGCGTTTCCCCGCCACCATTAGCAAAAAGTAAACATTTTCCAACAACGAACGAACCGTATTATAACAAAACATCGCCGCTGCTGACCAAAAACAACAAAGAAGTTTCGCAAGCGCAAAATCTTGTAAAGCCAATTCATGTTCCATCAAAAGAAAAAGATTTTAGACTTTATCCCATTATAGGTAACTGGCCAACTAAACACCCTTCAGGGCTCAACAATGGTGCCAACAACAATAACAACAACGCTTGTTCGAGCAACAACAACACTAGCACTAATAGCAGTGTAATTAATACAAATACTCACCATGGAAGCAAGAAACGCAACAACAGTGCTATCAGTCCTAATTCTCCAAAAAATTCGGATAATGGCAAAAGTGAAACAGGATTTCGGTTGGTGCGCGGTCAGGATGCTTGGATGAGGTCAGGCTACGAGCAGGCGGAGCAAATTCTTCGATGTCTGGAATGCAACACTTCGTTTGATTCTTTACCAAAGTTGACGGTTCACATGATCCAGACCGCTCATTATTTGAATTTAGCTCGTCATGACAAATTAATGAAAAATAATTCATCTTTAATTTCCAGTATTAACAGCAGTGCAAACACAGCCACTGCTAACGCTGTCGGCGATTCAACAGGAAAACTTGGAATACAATCTCCTCTCTCATCATCAAACGTGTCAGTATCTTCTCAATATTTTGATCTAAAAAACTCAGATGAAAAAGAGCCAGTTAAGAAGACTAGCGACAGTCCAAAAGGTAATTCGAATAATGACAATAACAATTCCATGAAGTTTATTAAACAAGAATTAACAACTACGGATGAGACGGTAGCGATTGAATCACCTGATGAAACATTAAGAACTAGTATTGATTCAAGTATGAACAATAAAAATAATAATCAGATACCTCAGTTGAAAAAAGTGTTCCACAGCGACGACTTTGATAGTTGTTCCAACGACAGTCCACCGGCGAAAGAAATGGAATCGAAACAGATTAACAGTTTTTCTGAAGACAACGTGAAGCCTCCAAAGTTAGAACCAATTCAACCAGTTCCTGAAAATAACTGTTCCTCTACGCAATCTTCCAGACCAAACCTCTCACCAACCCCAGGAAGTAATGATTCCAGTTCAGCCCTAAAAGCTATGCAGAGTTTTATAAATCGCAGTTTTGGAAGCAAAGTCTCCAGCATTCATACATTTTCGACGAATCACATGATAACACCTGTCGCAACATCAACACCTTCATTCAGTCAAACAACAGGCAATAACGTCAATATTAGTCACAGTAATAACAACAATAATAATAGTAATAACATCAACAGTCAGAGTGGCAGCAACGTCAAAAATGTCCTACCATCTTATCCCAACAACTCAAAAAGTATTTCTCGAGATGACCAAATGATTCGTAAAGCTTCAAAACGCAGACAATCAAATGATAACACGTCATCTTCTTCTGTTGGGAAATGCGCGTCCAAACAGCAGTTGTCCACTTCGAGCAGTCGACTGTCGAGCAGCACTTTGAAAGACGACGACGCAGTGAATAGTTCAAAAAAAATAAAATATAGCAATGCATCAGATACTCTGAATTTTTATTCATCAATGCTGAAAAATGACCAAGTCAGTGGCAGCCTCATGAGCAGACTTGCTGAAATGGTGTCAGCTACGAGAAAAGATAAGACTTCCAAATCGCATTACAGCAGCAACGACTTGCTATCTCACTGGGACGGCAGCATGACAGCAACTGAGGCAGAGTTCAATGGCTTGCTTGCTGCTCGCATCCAAGGAATGAATTTAGATTCGTTTTTAAGGAATGTAGTAGAACACATTTCCAAAGACAATAAAGGAAGTGGAGATGCAAAGACCCAGGAACCTTTTTTGAAATCTAGATCTTCAACAGCGTCGTTGTCGTCATCGTCGTCGTCATCATCACCAATTGTGGACGATAGACAAAACGCTCAGAACAAATCGCCCTATATGCAGGCAGCAACGTCGAATGATGAACCATCTTTTGATTACTCTTTGAAAAATTCTCCAAGTCACCAAACGAGAGTTTACGTTAGCAACAGCAGCGGTGGCATCAACACACGATCTCAAAACAACCAGCAGTCAAGGAAAGATACCAGCACACCAGGTGTCCTCAGTAGTGGTACTGCTAATAACAGCTGCAACAGCCGTGCCACTTCAAAGGCTGCCGTTGTTATATCTCACAAGTGTTCAACAGGCGACAACAACAGTGACGACAAGGACGCACGAAAACCGATTCCTGAGACTTTGATCCTCGTGAATCCAATCATAACGGTCATGTCCAACAAAGATTCAGATTCATCAACGGCTGGGTCACCCGCAGCGGATGCCAACTGCGGTCAGTCAACTGATGCGAAGAACAAATTTGAAATTGTGGAGATAAAGCCGGACGACAAGTTTTACAACTACGCCAGTGAAAAAGTTAGCGATATAAATGCCAATGAAAACGAAAACAGCAATGATGATCACGATAATCATGATAATCACGATGCTTGTGACGACGTCAGTATAGCGGTCGTCAAAAACCTTTCAAGAAAATCATCGACACGATCTGATAAAACGTCTGCGTCGCAACATGACGCGAAACGACCTCCACCCTACTCCAATCAAGCACATTCTTCAACGCTGTCAATTGTCAATCAGAACAACGAAAATAATAACGTCAGCACCAGTAACAGCAACACTGGCACCACCAATAATAAAAATAGTTATGCGACGAAACAATCAAATTTTGACACCAAAGAATCGCAGCATCCCGCCCAACAACAGCAAAAACAAACTCAACAAAATTCACAAACTGGAAATGACGTCAAAAAATCACGTGAGGATTTCAAATGTCATTATTGTTTCAAAAAGTTCTCATCAAAAACTTCGCAGCGACACCACGTGGAGCAGTGCAGCAGAAACATCCACACTTCCAACAAAGCCAGCAACAACAACACTAACAACAACATTAATAATAACAACATAAGCAACACTACTAATTATAACGCCAATGTTAATCAAATCTACAACACCAGCAACAATACAAACAACAACAACAACAGCAACAACGCTAACAACAATACTAATTATAGTTCTGCAACCACCAACAACAGCGAATCCATCAAACCCGCTAGCGTTTCAGACGAGGCCCACACAAACAGATTCCTCAAGTATTACCAGCTAGCTAATGAGCTAAGCGGCAGAAGTAACTGTTGATGCGTGCACCGACCTGCATGCCCGCGATCTACTCACTCATCATCATCTTCGCTTTGCCATCACTCATTTCTTACTGACAATGCGTCTTTACCATAGTCATATAGTCATCTCATCTCCGTTTTATTAACGTTATAATTATTGTTATGTTGACATTATAAATATATATATATACATTTTAAATATATAATATATATATATGTATATATATTATAACCATAATTAACGTTTCATTTGTCATTATTACGTCGTCATATAACTGCTAAAGTTGATGTTATTGTATAATACTTGTGCTGTCGATGTTGTTAACGTTACATTTCCTTCTTTTCAAATCTTAAAATTCTGGAGCTTTTTCCGTAAGTTCAAATTAAATTTGTACGCGATACATATATGTATATATGCACATATATATGAATATATATACCTATATATATATATATATATATATATATACATATATATATATATATATATATATATATCTAAAGTACGTGTGTATATATACATCAAAATATTTTCCATGTATTATATTTAACATTCATACCTAGGTGTATAAATATTGTTGAAAAACGTCTTTGTTAAAAAAGCATCAGTAAAGAAATATGAATACACATATAAGGACACATACATACATACACATACATACACACACATACATACACACACACATACATACACACACACATACATACATACACATACATATGTACAAACATACATACAATCAAACAAACATACAATACGTACACATACATACATACATGCATGCATACATACATACAATTATAGGTTCATACATACATACATCATACATACATACATCATACATACATACATACATACATACATACATACATACTACATGCATACATCCCTTACATATTGTTTTATTTGTCACTCTTCTTATTAACTTCTTTTCGTCATATATTTTTATTAATTGTAATTAAAAAATAAAAATATATAATTATGTATGTATGCATGTATTTATAATTATTTATGTAAATATATATAATTAATTATATATTTATATTTTATTCATTAATGTTTTAGAGCTTTCTCATGAACCATACATATTTCTTCTCACTTAATAATTTTTTTTTATTTTAATGTACGTTTCAGGCGAATAAATCGCAAGTCTAGCTGACGGGAGTAGCTTTTTTTTTTTAATTTTTTTTTCAGAACTTAAAGTCAAATATCTCACCTTTTGTCTGAGGATTATTTGGATATTATAGAATGAATAACTAGAGTAACTGTCTGAACTTTAATTGACTCTTTAACTAATGTCATGCGTTTAATACAAATATTTTTTACGTCATTCACGAGCTTTAAAATGCCGCAAATCGTCAAAACATCATATTGCTTGCTGGGTGTTTGTCGTACGTGTTTGTGTGTGTATGTGTGTGTGTGTGTGTTTGTGTATGTATTTACGTGTTTGTTTGTATGTACGCATGTTTGTTTGTATGTATGTAACAATTGTAACAATATAAATTTGTTCGTGTGAATATGTATTTGTGTGTGTATGTGTGTGTGTGTGCGTGCGCAAGCAATGCGAATGTCGCAAAAAATAATTTTGATTTTGTTTAATTTTTTTCTAATTTGATTCCAGGTTCAGTTGTTTCATTGCAGAATCAAACTATTTTATTTTTTTAATTTTTGGTTACATGTAGTTTTTATTGAATAAAAAGTCATTCAACAACTCGTGAGAGGCCTTCGTTTAATATTTTCTCTAAAATTTCTTACAAAGTAATTAACAGAATTTAAACGTTTGTGGGACTTGCTGATCGGCTGCGGGTTGCAAACATGTCACAAAATATGCGAAGCAATCAAGATCTATCAATCCCTACTCCATCGCATCTTCATTTATAACTTCGTGACTCTCAGTTTTTTGGTCATCATATTTATTTATCTGCTTTCATTTTTTTATTCATTCATTATTTATTTCCTTCATTCTCTCCATTACTACTTTTTCCAAACTGCTTGGTCCATTGTGTGTTAGGTCTGCTGGCTCACATACATCAAACGACTCAATTCCTTTGGTCTGTCGTAACTCTTGCCCAGTTCAGCAGAATGTTACACAAGTCGAACTCTGTTACTCTGTTACTCTGCTGCTCGGTTTCCATATGCTCGATCTCAGGCATTTCTTGATAACGGCACGCAGTTGTGTGTTTCCACATAAAGACACACATCACCAACACACACACACACACACACACGTGTACAAACGTTATGTACATACACTTATGAGCGTATACATTTTGTAATGCAGATTGAAACACGCGCACACACACGCGTTCGTGAAAAATCAGAGGAAAGAAATAATTATTCAGTTATTGAAAATTCAGAGTGTGTTTTAATTGGATGGATTCTGTTGTGAGACGAAGCACTTTACTTTTAAGGCTATAGATGTGATCACGTTCTTGTTGCTACCTATTCTTAGATTTGCAGGTGAACGAACGCGCATGCACATTTTTGTGTGCTTTGCATGTCTACGTTTGTGCATGAATGTACAACACAGGTTGTCACTTTTTATATATACATATTTTAAGCTAGTGCTCTAGTGATATAAGTGCGCAAACGTATGTGCAGTTATTGTGCACACACATCCACATGCAAACAAAACACACACACACACACACATGAACATCTTGTTCGGAATGTATTTGTATGTACGAGTCCTTTTTCAGCGCCAAAATGGATTTGAGTGCAAACGTATCCATCGGTGGCTGCTCTGTAAGTTTCATCATCTTCGCTCAAAATTATTTTTTTTAAAACTGCTCAAATTATGAAGAAAGTAAAAAAACGGAAATGAATAAATGATATAAAAATGAGTGAATGCATGGATGGGTGAGAGATTGATATGCTATTATTTGCATCGTCTTTTTAAAGTATGAAATGTGTTTATAATTTTTTGTTCATCATCCTGGCATATTTATTTATTGATTCAACGAAGGGAGAGAGTGCCAATCAATCAGACATCAAAACTCTTTCAATCATTTTCCTTCCCGCCGCTCCCTTCACTCGCATCGTCTGCTCCACTTAAACATTTCTTGCATTACTCTCCTTCATTTATTTGGTCAGATTTTTATTTTGAAAATGAATTGCGAATTCGTTTGATTTTTTTGTTTATATGATTTTTTGTTTGTTTGTGGTTGCTCATTTGTTGGTTTGTTAATTTATTTATTTATTCGTTCGTTTTCTGTTCATTCATTCATTCATTTTTCATTAGTTCATTCATTCATTCATTCATTCATTCATTTATTCATTCATTCATTCATTCAGTTTTGAGGCAGCCCATATAGCGCCGTGTTTGCGTGCAAAATTTACGTCCTTCTAATTGCAATTAATTTCATTATTTCAAGATTGTTAATTTTCTCGTCATACGGTTGGTCTGTATGGGGCGTTGTTTTTTTTGTTTTCTTTTTTACAATTAATATAATTATTATTTCTGTTATTATTATTATTATTATTTTGTTCTTTTTATTATTATCATTATTTTATTCATAATATTGCTGTTGTTGAATTTGATTCTTTATTTTTTATTTTACTACTTTTTCTAAACTGCTTGGTCCATTGCTCCGCGTGTAGCAGTTTTTATTGGCGTCTTCAGCATTCATGTTCTTTGTTGTTCTTGAATTTATGTTAGGCTGTTGACGCGTTCAATTTACTATCCAGCGTTATTATCGCTGCCATCTTCGTGGTCGTCATCATCGTCATCATGTTATCACCATCATCATCACATCATTATCATTTGTTTCCAGTTTTTAATACCATCTAATTTTTTTTTGTTTGTTATCATCGTCGTTAATGTTATTGTAGTTGTTGTCATCTTCTTGTTATAAATATATGACCTCATCGTTTACAAAATTTGTCTACGCTGTTGTTATTTTTGTTGTTGTTGATGTTGGTGTTGTTGTTGTTGTTACTGTTGTTGTTACTGCTGCTACTCATGTGGCTTATTACTATAGTTCACATCTTTGTCGTCATCTTCATTTTTCGTGTTGATGTTGATGTTGCTGATGTTGTTGCAGTAGTAGTTGTTGGTGTTGTTGTTGTTGCTGCTGCTGCTGCTGCTGTTGTCGTAGTAATGCCAACCATGCAGGGTTTGTATTGTTGTTATTGTCGTTGTTGTGTTGGAGGTGTATTGAGATATAATTTACGATTATAGGCAGTTCTTATGCCAGGGCATGCAAATATTCAACATGCAGCATCGTACGCCTCTCTACGCCTGTGCATGTTTGTGCATGTTGTATATGATTGTATATGATTTTGTGTGTGTGTGTGTATGTGTATGATTGTATATGATTGTGTATGCATGTATGTGTTTGTGTATGATTGTATATGATTGTGTATGCATGTATGTGTTTGTGTAGGATTGTATATGATTGTGTATGCATGTATGTGTTTGTGTATGATTTTGTATGCATGTATGTGTTTTTGTATGATTTTGTATGCATGTATGTGCTTGTTTTTTTGTTTGTGTATGATTGTGTATGTTTATTTTTGTTTACATGCGTTATTTGTTGTTCGTCAAAATGTCTTTAATATGTTGCATATTTTGAAAAATGAACAGTCGAATTTTATGCGTGACTACGTTCCGCTTATGTAGATGTGTTGTTTTTGATGTGTTATGCTTATAATTTGCGATGTTTAAGATGTGTTTGTCATATGAAATGTTTAACATATGTTAATGTTGTATTTTGTTCTTAACTATGTATCTTGCCCGGCTTATTTGTTAATGTTAGATTAAGAATTAAGATGTGTGATGTTTGTTTTCATTTTATTTAACTTTCATAAAGTTTTTTAAATATGTTTAGATGTTGAATTTGTTGTTGAATTTGCTTGCGTATGTTGTTATAAATGTTTTGATTTTGTAATTGTGAATTAAATAAAGTCTGCGTTAAATCAAATTTTTGCTTAATTGAATGTTGGTGTTTAAACTTGTGTTCCATAAATTTCACGTTCCAATTTGATTAAAATATCAACGTGTAAAAACAATTTTTAAATTAAAGTCATAATCGCAATATTACAAACATACATGTGCGTGTGTGTGTACGTGCTTGCGTGCGTGTGTGCGTGTGTATTGCGTCGGATAGTACACAGATGTGTGCGTGCCTTTGTTGCTGTGTTGCTGTTCTTCTTGCTGGCTCGGAGATATAGGAATGGATATGTGTCATCATTTAACTTGGATTATTACCATTGTTTATGATTTACGTAATAACCAAGCTGCTATTTTGATGCTCCATTTATAAAGAAAAGCTCCCTCCATGTTTTTTTCGGTTTTTTGTTGTTGTTTCGGTTTTTTGTTGTGTTGTTGTTTTTTTTGTTGTTTTGTTGTTGCTGTTTTTTTCACAAAATTTTATGTGTTGTTGTTGCTGTTGCTGTTATAGTTTTGTTGTTATTAACATTTGTTGAGCGTTCAATGTTTGACTACTTGTTTTGCATTACAATCCTGTTGCCTGATACCATTAACTAACAATGATAGTGTAAGTATTCAATTGAATAAATTGATTTAAAAGTTTAAAAAGTCTAAAAATCCAGTTAGTGTGTTAATTGATGATAGTAAAAAACGAAAGCATTCCAATTAATAAAATAACCTCTGATTTAATATGCTTTGTTTTGCAAGTATGTGGTTTTAATTAATTAATTAATCGTTCAATAAATTCATTTATTAATTTATTTATTTATTCATTCCTTTATTCACCCATTCATTCACTCACTCAAAAGGATGACGTCATTCCGCGTCAATGTCATTCCCCTTGTTATGCTGTCAATCAATCGTCTTATGAAACATTATTAGACTTTTACAATAGATTGTATATACATGCATGATACATTCATACATATATAGACATTCATACAAACATATGTACTGTACATACCTACGTAAATTCGAGCGTTTTTATGTACAACGTTACATAATATGCTTACAAGTAATTTATTTAACCACAGCATCTCTGTAACATTGTGAACACCAGGCAAATGAATGTTACGTGTGTCATGCTATAATGTTTTTTTTTTCGATTTTTTAATTTTTTTAGGAGAGCAACAAAACATTACCACACGCTATATCCGCTACGTTAAAATTAAAATTAACTGATTTTTGTCTACTGAAAATTTTTTATTATTTGTTACATGAATTATTTAAATAGGGTCGAATGAGGTTTGAAAAACTGCACTGTGGACCTACTAAAAATGTTTTAAAAGAATGGACATTTATGAAAACAAGGCAGAGAAAGACTGAAAGCGTTTGAGATGGGGTGATGCAGAATTTTGCTGGGAATCAACTGTTGGTATAAGGTAAGAAACAAAACCAGCTCTGAAAACAACAATTTGAACATAAAAGGTCAAAGTGTTTGGGTCAGTTTTTGACAAGTGTCAGATGATGGGTTAATCGTATCTCTGCCAAATGAGACTACAAGTAATGAACTTTGATGGACTTTATAGTTTCAAAGAGGAATATTTAATCGATCGATTGATTTAATTTATACAAAAAATACGTATTAATAAATATTAGTAATTATTAATATTATGTAGGAGGTTCAATACCGGTCCAAGATTTTTTTATCACGAAATTTTTTAAAAATACAAACCTCCCGACAAAATATCAAAGAAATAATATTAATATTAATTAGAAACTAAGAAATTAAAATGACAAAAAATAATGTCTAGTAAGTTTGAAGAGCAGTTAGAGCCAGTCAATTGCCAATAAAAATTGCATCCCATGTGTAAGATTCTCATGTTAGTTGCAGCACTTACAAACTACAGGAATATTTTTTAAACGCATAAACAAAATATCTCGCATATAGACATGTGTACATACGTAATAATGTTGTTTATGTGCGTATATATACACACATATACACTTATATACGCACACAAAGCATTTGAAATACGTAATTCTCATATAGTTATGTATCTGTATTACGTATTTATATTAAAAAGTTTATTTATTATTTCACAGCGTGTCATAATTCTTAATATGGAAGTCTAATTTACGACGTGGAATGAACAGGAGATGTTTGGAGTTAGTTAGCTGCTTCTTGTTACGTTAACATGAAGGTGTTTTGTGTTGACTTGTGTTTTGTTGTTTCGGTTTTTAGTATGCTTTTACTGTAATTGTGATGTTGATGTATGTGTTGATGTATATATTTGTATGTATGTATGTATATGTTTTTTATGTATGTATGTATGTATGTATGTATGTATGTATGTATGTATGTATGTATGTATGTATGTATGTATTATTATTATTATTATTATTATTAGATTATTTATATATAAAGCGCCCTTTATTGTTCTCAAAGGCGCTAACAATGTAGAAGTTGATTAAATGCGCTAATGCAAAAGTTGATTAAATGTTTCACTTCAATGTATGTATGTATGTATGTATGTATGTATGTTTATATGTATGTATGTTTATATGTATGTATGTCTGTGTATGTGTTTGTATGAGTTTATTGTGTACAGTTGTACTCATAAAAAATTATTTGGTAAAAATACGTGCAAATGTATAGAAAAATTATGAATACACTTAATATTTTATACGCAACGCATGCCTGCAATAGTTGTCATGATTTAGAGCCTTTTTTAAAAAAATACCCACAAATATTTACGGTGGTATTGTTGGTTTATGCCTGTCTGTGTTATGTAAGCCTGCATTCCTAATGAGATAAATAAGGATGTCATAACTATTTATGAATGTACGTTCTTCTAACTAACTGAAACACGATAAATAAAAATGTTATGCGATCTGCATATTCATTACGTAATAACTTTTATATTAGTACGGTCTATGTTATAAATAAAGGAAGAAGTATAACTTTTGAATATAACGGGTATATTATCAGTTAAATGACATCTTCTATTCTTCTAAAACTTTATAGCACCACGTTTAGAAACTAGCATGTCTTTGAAACCCTTTCTCTCTTGTTACCTTTCCAAGACCTCTGAACAAAAAGTACGGCGAAAATTAGGAAACAATTTAAACAATTTTTTAAAATGTTCAGAGGATTGTTATGAGGGTTGGGAGCTTGTATGGATGGAAGAAGGGTAACATCTGACAAATAACAGATTTTGAAACTTACGTTAAAATTAATGTTTGTGCAGTTGTACGATTGTGACGATGGCATGTACGTACGTGCATGCAAACGTGCATCTGAATGCCTGTCGCATGCACATGTGCCGATCTGCGTGTGCCAGTGCGCGCTGTTTTGCATTCAAAGATTGGTATTCATTTATACATCAAGACTGATATTTTGATGACGTGATTTGATGACGTAACATTTACTTCCGTCGTACTCACATAAACAAATTTTATATATAAATAAAAAAGAAAGATAAATAAAATACTTACTCAAACACACATGCTGTACATTCAAATGCACTTGGGTACTGAGTGCAGTTTTGTAGTACAAAAAAATAAAGTACACAAAATTTTTACTTAGGTTTGTAGCATAAAAACATACGCAGTTATTATACAAATATGTGTGCGTACGTATGTGTGCAATACGTCAAGGTATTTCTAATACGCAAGCGCTATCAAGGATAATTATCGTCACTGAAAGTTTTTAAAGAAAAACAATTTAAAACGTCATCATTTTGTCAGTCATGTTTTCATCGTCATCTTCTTCTTCTTCTTCATCTTTATTATCATCATTTATGTTGTCATTCTCCTCCTTTTCATGTGCTCCTCCCTGATATTTCAAAAATCTTTCAGTGATTTTTAAAAATTGTTGTGTCACTCGCGCTGATGTGCATTTTGAAAAGAATAGTTTGTTGACATTAATTTTGATATTCATCATCATCATCGTCGTCGTCACTTCCTTCTAAACATAACAAACGTAACTCGGCGTTGTGTAATAATTTGCAGCTTTTAAAATGTTTTTTGGTCGTCATCATCCATCAGCACCCTGTTCACCGTCAAATCAAATTAAGGTGCCCTCCAATTAATCTCCATAAAAACATTATTCACAACAATAACAACAACAACAGCAACAACACCAACAGATCACATCAATAACATCAATGATACTTTTACCAGCAAAAACCACAACAGTAAAATATCCACATGATTTCAAATGATTTTCAACAAAAATTGAAGACCATAAAAAAATATCATCAAAAACCCCAACAACAACCTCAACAACGTCAACAACAACAAAGGCATAAACAACACCAACCACAACAACATCAACAACTACAACCATTACAATACCAACAGAAACAGCAACAACAGATATAACAACAACAACAAAGACATTAAACAACTCCAACCACAACAACAACCACTACAATACCAAAAACAACAACAACAAAGACATAAACAATTCCAACCACAACAACACCACACCAACAACAACAACTACTACTTCTACTACAACAACAACAACAACAGCAAAAACATAAATTTCCCCAATATCAACCACAACAGCAGCAGCAGCAACAACAACAACAACATCCAAAAACATTAACAACATCAGCAACATCAACAATGACAGGTCATCTACCCAGTAGCGATGCTGACGTCAGCGAGATTGCAGTGACGTATCCAATGACGTCATCTTGATGTTCCTACTTAGTGACACTTTTCGCGTGTTTCTTCAAACACAAGAGCAATAGTTCCAGCAGCGTTTTCTTAGTAACAGTTTTTTGTTTACTGAGATATTATTATTTATTATTAATTATTATTAACATCGTTATTATAATTGCTGTCTTAATATCATTATTGTTTTTGCTATTATTTGTTTAATGGTAGGAGTAGCAGTAGTAGTAGTAGTAATAGTGGTAATAGTAGTAGTAGCAGTAGTAGTAGTAGTAGTAGTAGTAGTAGTAGTTGTAGTAGTAGTGGTGGTGGTAGTGGTAGTAGCGGCAGTAACAGTAGTCGCAGTGGTAGTGACAGCACTACTACACAATTACTGAATTTTCCACCAATACTATATACAAACATTAGTATTTTTATACTGCTATCAACTCTACGACCACCAACAATACTCAATTACGTCACCATCAATACTTTTTTAACCAAGAACAACAACAACAACAACAACCTTATAAAGAGCAAGGAGAACAATAATAACAAAACAACATTATAATCGCCAACAATAACATCATCCCATCATCATCATCATCAACAACAACAACAACACTATCATACCATTACTATCACCACCAACCACACCACAAACCAGCAACAACATTTTGTTTGTGTTGGACAACACTTTTCTCATATATGCCCAAAGATACCCACAACCAACGACGAACTTATTTAAAAGGCGCGTGGTAAAATTAAAATTAAAAAGTATTTAAATAAACTAAAAGCTGAATTAATAAATTAATATGTAAATATATAATTGAATGAATGTAACAATCTCATATTGCCAAATATTTATATAGAGTACACATACATAATTTAAGTACATACAGTATATAAGCATAATATATATATATATATATATATATATATATATAAGCAATAAAAAACGCTTTACGTCATGCTATTAAATCTCACAAATTCGCCATGTGATGGTTGTTTTGGGGTTTAGAAAATCGGTGGTCAAAACTTTGACTTTGATGACCGCAATGATGATGAAGAAGAAGATGATGATGAAGAAGAGGAGGAGGAGAAAGATGATGATGAGAAGGAGGATGATGATGAAAAAGAGGAAGAAGAAGATGAGGAGGAGGAAAATTATGAAGATGAAGAAGAGAAGGAGGAAGATGATGATGATGATAAGAAGGAGGAGGATGAAAAAGAGGAGGAGAAAGATGAGGAAGAGGAAGATGATGAAGATGAAGAAGAGGAATATTGCCATGAAGGTGAGTAGAATAATGTACATAATGATGATAAAGACGGCGATGTTTTTTAGGATAATTCACAATAATGATTATAGCAATAGCGATGATGAAAATGTTGATGATGACGACGATGATGAAAATGATGAAGATGATGATGAGAAGATGATGATGATGTTAATGATAGTGGTTATGATTGATGCTAGCAATCATTCAATCCATTATTGCACTAATAAATCAATGAGTGACAACGATGATGATGATGAAGACGAGGAAGATGATGAAGACGATGATGACGATGACGACAAAAGTTAAACTTTGAAAATGTTTGGATTGATATTAATTTACTGCGAAGGTTATGATGGTAATTAAAAATGATATAAACAGTATTTTAAGATGATAATATTAAATCAATTTAATTTCAATTAAATTTATTGTTTAATTACAATTAATGTATTGTTATTTTTAATTTTTTTTAATTTTTATATTAATCATATTTTTTAGATAAATGTTTTTATTGGGTACTAAATTGTCAGGATTGCATTGATTCGTATGAACCCCTATTCCATCGCTAATGATGTTTGAAACTTTTTCTGGTAGATGCTGGATGAAGTATGAAGTGGTAGATGCTGAATGAAGTATCTTCTTGTGAATTTAAAAAGCACCTTTGATAGTTTTACTGTTGCCCTGGTCCACCGTGCATCATAATAATAATAACAATAATAATAAAAGTAATAATAATATTATTATTAAAAATATACAGAAAGGAAAAAATATTGCGGCTGGAAGCAGATTGGAAAGAAATAGAAAATTAATCAATCATATGTCTATTTTCATGATTGATGGATGGATGGATGGATGGATGGATAGATGGATGGATGCATGCATGCATGCATGAGTATATGAATGCATGGATGCATGGATGGATGCATGGATGCATGGATGGCTCCCTGGATAGATGGGTGGGTGGATAGATAGATGGATAAATTGACAGACGGATGAATGGATAGAGGACTGAATAGATTGACGGATGGGCAGACTAATATATAAATGAATGGATAGAGGAATGAATTACATTAAATGAACCCGTATTTTTTTATTTTTAAACTTTTATAAACTTGCCAATCAGCTTCAAATTTTTTTAACTTCAAATGTGAGCAATCACTTACTCACAGCTTTTGTGAACGAAAAAATTTATTACAAGTCGCAAATGAGCAGTTAATTAAAGAACAAACATACGAACGAACAAACGAATGAATGAACGAATGAACAAGAGAAATAATAAATAAACGAACGTACGAACGAACGAACGAATGATTACACCAATCGGCTTCGGAAAAAATATATAAACATTATTAACGAATTCAATAAAGGATCAGTCAAGTGATTGATAATGCAAAATCGCCAATTGACTGATAGACCGATTGATTGATGGATGGATGGATGGATGGATGGATGGATGGATGGATGGATGGATGGATGGATGGATGGATGGATGGATGGATGGATGGATGGATGGATGGATGGATGGATGGATGGATGGATGGATGGATGGATGGATGGATGGATGGATGGATGGATGGATGGATGGATGGATGGATGGATGGATGGATGGATGGATGGATGGATGGATGGATGGATGGATGGATGGATGGATGGATGGATGGATGGATGGATGGATGGATGGATGGATAGATGGATGGATGGGTTGATAGGTGGATAAATTGATGGATGGATGGATGGATGAATTGATAGTTGGATAAATTGGCTGATTGATTGATTGATGGTCACCTTGCAAACGAATTGAGAGATTGATTGTAAAGCCAAGATTAAATGATTGATTCGTGTCTGTGATTGATTGATGGCTTTCTTTCATTCGTTTATTTGTTCATTCATTCATTCAACTATCTTTCCATTCAAAATTACACTCTCTCGTGCCCCTTTTGCAGACTAATGCATAATAAAAAAATTATTTTTCAATTTGAAACACGGACATCAATTTAGAAGAGAAAATGTATTTTTTCAGAAAGAGAGAGAAAGAAAGAGAGAAAGAGAAAGAAAAAAAGAGAGAGAAAGAGAAAACGAGAGAGAGAGAGAGGGGGGGAGGGAGAAAGAGCAAGATGGCATAATCTTCCAGTTTGCAAATTCACCAGATGATAACTGGAACTTCATCCAACTCCACAACAAACACTGGCCATCACGACAATACAAATGTAATACTTGATGTCTCCATCAAACAAAATCTGGACACATTGGAGTAGTCGAAACCTTAATAACACTAATAGTAATAATAATAATATAATATAATAATTATATTATATTATAATAATTATAATATAATAAAATATGTAAAATTCTGAAAAATAATAAAAGAACATTATTATTTCATTGTTATTCATGATTTTATTATTAATTTGCAAAAGGAAAATTTTCTCAGTAAGGAAAAGTAAATTTTTCAAAATTTATCAAAAAATAATTCTGCCTCCTTATGAAGAATCTGAGTGTTTGAAAAAAGTTCAAAGGACTGGCCTGACGATCTGCGACACATAAAACAAAATGGTGCCATGTGTGTGCATCCGATCATGCATAAACATCCACACAACACACATCCATACAATACAAAGCATGCAATATAATAAAATGCATACACTACAATACAATGTATACAATACAATACAGTTACTACAATACAATACAATGCATACAATGCAATGCAAGGCGCACAATACAATCCAATACAATTCATACAATACAACAAAAGTCATACAATGTAATACATTGAGGTATAAACATGCAAGCATACATACCACACAAACAATGAGGTTTAAACGGGCGTATAATACAATGATGAAACATAGACAGACATGCATAAAGAGGCACACTATACAATACCAATAAAAAAAACATGCACATACATAAAGATAAACACGATACAATACAAAGAAAAAACAAAACATGAAGAAACATAAACATACAGAGGATACAATAGAGTGAGGAGAAGTTCTTTTTTCTTTCGTTAATATTTACGCTACTCACACAGACCGAAGGACATAAATTAGTGTTTACATGTACGTGCGTTTTCTAAACAAACACCGATGGACGTGTGTTTATAATTGGGCTAGGTGGGTTTCAGTTTTTAGTTCTTTAGTTAAATTAAAGTTTCTCGTGTGTTTAATGCGTTGGTGATGAAATAAATAGTAAGAAATTGTCATGAGTGACGATAAATTAACTTTCAATCGTTCGTTCTATTAATGCTGTTTTTGTTGTTGTTTTATATGTATATCTGTGTGTGCGTGTGTGTGTGTGTTTGTGTGTGTGTGTGTGTGTGTGTGTGTGTGTGTGTGTGTGTGTGTGTGTGTGTGTGTGTGTGTGTGGTTAGGGTTGTGTCAACACGTAACACCGAAGGTCGAAGGCTGGACGTGAGAAAACATATACTGGATGCTATTTTTTTAGTTTTTGAAATTTGATTTGTTCGCAGTTTTCAAACATATTTGAAATGAAACAAAACCATGCAAACAAATTTTAAACTTATCTTTGTTGATATTAAAATAGGATCAGCATTGAATAGAATAAACGTTTAAAAGTGAACTTCAACCTCGAGTTGTGATTTCGACCTGGCATCGAATATGTTCTGCCTACCATTAACTTCATCCCTAAATATGTTGTGATCAACTCGCACGCACGCACGCATTCATGCTATACGACACAACCACGTTCATTCACAGAAGTTTCTTGTTCCTACATACACGCCTACACAGACACAACTTACAGTCCAAACACACTCGCACGCACACGCACGCACGCACACGCACGCACACTTATTAACATACAAATATATGCAAACGAACGGACGGACGGACGGACGAACGAGCTTATTTACGACTAGTGAGTATATTAAACATCACAAATCACGAGATGTACTAATGCAAGCACGGTCCAAACATAATGTAATGTACGACCATTTCTATACTTTGCGCCGTTTGTTTCGCTTATGTGCTTTTCTGCCTTTGCCTTTAAATAAAGTGTTTGCTGGCGTGCGTGTTTATGTGCGCGGGTGAGCATGTGTGTGTGCGCGTACATGTTTATACGAGCAGTGCGCGCGCGCTTGTGTAAGCGTATTTGACTTCGAAGTTTTCTTTGTGTAAATGTATTTGTTGCTGAGACGTGAAAGTTTCTATGATAGAGAGAGAGAGAGAGAGAGAGAGAGAGAGAGAGAGAGAGAAAGAGAGAGACTGCAGAGATGTTTAAGTATTATTATATCATGTGCTTGTGTTTCAATTTGTTCATGTTTGCTTGTTGTTCACGTGTATGTAAAGAGACTTGTTCATATTTTATGCGATGTGAGTCTGCTTATGCAAATGTTTTCCACAATGAAGTGTAATTAAAAAAATTGTCTACATTTTATGCTTTATGTTGCTTGTCAGCATTCAGAGACGAGTAGGTAGGAGTTACATGCATGGCATTGTTTTCCATCACGTCACATCTCATCTTCATCCGTCCTAAATTACAAACATCTGAACATTCGCTGAACAACTGAGCATTTGATACAACAAGACATTGATACAACTGAACATTGACACAACAGAACATTTGAAATAACTGGACATTTGAAGCAACTTATTATTAAAACGTTTGTCGTTGAGTCATTGCTACGTTACATGTTTACTTGTATGATTTGTATTTAAATATTTTTGGCATTTTCAAATTTTTACAATTTGATACTTTGACGTTTTTGTTAATTGATGTTTGTTGATTGATCAACGTTGGTTGATGTTTTAACATAAAAAGCGACAAATTCGACTAGATGATACTGCAATTGCAACACAGGAAAAAACTCTCCAAACTTTAAAATTTTTACATTTAGAAAAAAAATTCTAACTTGAAATTTTTACACAAACCTAAAGTAGTGAAGTATTTTTAATCAAATTAAAATTTTCATAGAGAAATTTGAGAGAAAAATTAAAAAACAAACTCAACGTCAACATGTCGATACAAAAATCCAAATATAAATATAAAACAAAGCAACAAAAACTAGGAAAAAGTACTAAAAACGTCGGAAACATCATAAACAACGAAATTTTAAGCAGCAGCAGCAAAAGCAACTACAGCAGCAACTGAAGCAACTGCTGCAGTAGCGAAAGAAACAATTACCTTAATTATGAAAACACGACCTTGAAACGGCAAAAATTGGGACGAATAAATTTGGTGAAGCGTGTAAAACATTTGAAGAGCATCTGCAATTATATTTTTATGGGCAGTTAAAAATTCAAAGCAAGGTATTAAAAGAAAAAAAAAAAACTCTCATTATTATTTAAAACTCAACTATAATGCTATCATCCGATAGACATAAACAAACAAAAACATGACGTGAATGAAATTAACGTTAAAGTTATAGGCAAAAATGCTGTTGTCAACATAATGAAAAAGCTCAAAACATTATCGACATCAATATTACCAACATCAACAACTACAACATCAACAGCAACATCAACACTAACAAAAACAACAACAACAACATCAACACTAACAACAACAACAACAACATTTAAAACATTAACTCAAGCAACAAGAAAAT